CTAAAATACAATTATTAACCCTAACAATACTAAATGTATTCAGAAACCATTGAGGAAAAGCAAACAGCTTGTGTACCTTGCATTGTTTTTGTTATTTTGTTGACTTCTTCTACCTGCTCCTCCACATGCTGGGTGATGCACGGTGGGGATAGCTAATGAAGCCAATAATGTAGCAGTGTGTGTCTAATGAGAGAAGAGCAGCTCCGGTTCCACACTATTCACACTTCATTTCAGTGTGTCTGTGTGTGAACATGATTACATTTATGAACCTAATCCACAATGAGATATTTCGTCCCTCGGTGCTGTCCAATTTAACATATTTGTGTACTCATAATACCCTGGAAAATCATTAACTCGTAGACTGCTCTGACATGTGAATGACCAGCATCTCTTCATCCTGTTACCCGTTCACGCCAGAGATATCATATTCGAACTACACATACAGTTTGCTGGTTTTTAAAGTATAATAGCAGAGCATCCTGTGTTACACAGCGACAGAGAGCAGATGAGACTGCTCAGACAATGCCTGTGATGTCCTCCTGCTGTGAGAGACAATAACCAGATGTGAAGAGGAGAGTTTGACACATGCAAGTCTGCTCATTGTGGCCAATTACCAGGTTGAAGCATCCTTCTGGCAGGCACAGAGCCAGAGAGAGAGTCACAGCCTGCGTTTCTCATCAAGAGCATCCAGTCATTTGAATCAGAACTCACACTGCTCTGTTGTTTTACTCTGCACAATGTTTCCATTTTGAGACATTAAGGGTTTGATTGACTGTAGTGACTCAGCCCTTTCTGCCATTCTTGAATGAAAGCAGACCTAGATCTGACTTAAAAAAACAACAGAGAAACCTTGGCCCTTCATAAAAACATACAACTGGTAAGCCCATATGTATGCGCACAGCTACACTGCAAGTTAATCACTTGTTGAGGGCCTGTTTATCCTCCATTAACCATGCAGACATGTTTCAAGTCCACACATAAACAGACAGTTCACCCTTACCCACCTTCTGAGCAAGGAAATGAATTGAAAAAAGGTTGTAAAAGTCTGATTAATGTGGGATTGGAGAACAGGACAGTGAGATAGTGGGAGAGAGAGCGAGAGAGAGAGCCTGTTCTCTCAAACGTAGCACTTTGCAAATATGGCACTTTGTTTCCGTGATGTGGAAGCTTATTATCTTAATATGCATTATTTTATTCCCCCTATAAAACACTGGCAGAGGAAAGCACGGTGCTGTTCTTCCTGCTCTTCCTTGTAATAGCTTCTCACAGCTCCTCATTCTATTACAAAAGATACAACAGTTAGTTAAGACCCCACGAAACATTTCATTTTCTGTCCTGCTAATTAAATGTGTCTCCAATGAGCCCGCTGAGCCCACTTGTCTGGTTGTCCCCCATTTGTGGTGCCACCAGAGTTTAATATATGGCATTAAACAGGGATTGAGAATGAAAATGAAGCCTACCTCCCAGTGGGAATGTAATGAATGATTATAAGGCATAATCTTGGTCATGCAGAAATCCTTTAGTTTAGTTTCTGTCGTTTTATTTAAGTTACAGTCTGTTAAATATGGTAATGTATTTGGCTATTTTTGGCACACTTAAGATTTTGAATAGTCTGAGTGGGGTTATAAAATGCATATCTTGCAGATGCATAAAGTGAGCTGTAATGAGTTTTTTTTTTAATCAACACTCGATCCTCCATTTCCTTTCTTTATCAAAACATTGTGATAATATTTTATACAGTATTAAGATCTTATCGTGGTGTGTAAGCTGCCATATTTGTCCTAAATAAAGTCTATTTCTGCACGTTAATAATTGTACAGACCTCACAAGGAGCTTCTGCTTCTTCACCTGTAAGCAAAACATTTCCACTGCAAAGGTGGGTAACAAAGCAAACAACAAGTTGTGCACATCCTCTGTAAAGTGCACGACTTCAGGGAACCCCAGAGGCAAACAAAAGGTTAGCATGCTGAAAATAAAAGGGAGTCTATTGCAATGTGGCACATAAGTCATACTGTAATGAGGATGTTTCTAATAGATGTAACAATTAGTAAAGTCACTGTACCAGTAAATCACGGGGAACTCTGGGAGCACTGGTTATCCTTTACGCAGGATGCATCAGTGTTCTCCTGGGGTGAACTCTGAAAGGTCAGGCAGTGTCTCATTAACACATACTGTGGCTGGGCTCCACATGCAGGGGCCGGGCTATTAACACAAAGCCGCTTTGTACATGTTCGAGGATTTTATGTTTCATTCACAAATCACTGCAAAGCTCTTGGTTCACAAACTGGTACAAATATTTCATTTCATTTCAAACCTTTATTTAACCAGGTGAATCCCATTGAGATCATCGATCTCTTTTTCAAGGGAGACCTGCAGCAAGTAGGTTCCACATGACATTAGTTTGTAAAAGTATCTAATACTATAACATAATGGTTTAGGCACATCGGTTTTTACAGAAAGTATCACAGCCCTCAATTTTGAGTAAAAGAAGGCTATTTCTTCCACCTGGAGCATAACTTCTATCCAAATTTAGTTTTTTTTGGAAAAAGGATGAGAGCTATTCTGGTTGTTTTCCTCGCCTTTATTTTAATATATTAAAATATGTTATTATGATATAACACTGATGTTCAAATGCTCTTAACTTTCCTCTGTACTGATGCTGTATAAGTGGTCCTCCTCATGCTCTATAAGCTTGTTTTATGATATATGCCTGAGTGCAACCCCTGTATAATGTAGGAACAAAATCCCCCCGATAAAATAAAGACAGTAGTAAACTTCATGGTAGTGGGCTGCCTATTGGAAACTCCAGAGGGAGACTGAATGGGGTGCATACAGGACTATTAGCCCTGAGTAACACAGCTGATGCATTGGCTCTGGACTCTGCTTGTTAACCCTTGAGACTCCAGGCCCGATAAATCCTGTTTTAAGAGATCTGGCAAACCCAGAGCTCACACAGCAGCTAGTGTCCCCTCCTGCTTTAAATATGGACCTGTGTGATGCACAACTTTAACTTCTCTCTGTGTCTCTTGTTCACTTGTGTGCCAAGCAACTTTACATATACAATAAAAATCATTCTAATTTTGAGGATTTTTCTGCTAACAAGATTTTTTTTTTAAAACATTTTGCCAGCAGCCTTTTTCTTCACTTTCCAGTTGTTTTCATCTCCCTATGTCATGACATGATTTTCTGTCACATCATACGTGTTAAGACACATTTTATATGAAAATGATCACTGTTAATCTGATGTAATATCCCTGCTGTGCCAGTCTGCATTTACACTACAACGGCAAGAACATATATATCAGATGGGACACTTCATCTGTTTCATATGTATTCAAAAGCATCAGAGGGGCCTCTGTTGTGTGTTCTAATGAATAAAACACGATGTTTATCCTTCCTGTTTAACGTTAAGTCCCCATGAACAGTCACAGGGACCAAGAGAATATTTACTTGCGTCGGGACACCGGGGAGTTGGATTATCTGCTGGCGGCTTTGTAGTTTTCTGAAGCTTCCCCGTGTGACATGTTCCAGGGAGAGTTCTCTTATTTACTCTCTGGTCCTCTGTGTATAGCCCTCCTTATTGTTTGTTCTTATGTGCCACCACTCCTGAGGAATGTGCTCCAGGAAAGAGAGACTCATAGAGAAAGAGAGGAGAACACTGATGCTGTGATCATTACATGGGATTGAGACTGTAGACTATAGAAGGATTCAGATGGAGGGCTTTTTACTACAGAGTATTCCTTTAGAAAGGGGATTTTATCTGACAAGGACTTGCCTTTAATGTGAATTACCATAAGACACATGTACAAATTGCATTGTCTCCTTTAAAATGCCTTTCAATTTGTTGACATTTATAGACTTAATTTGTATTTTCTATGTAGTTCTGTCCTTTGTTTTGAATCCAAAAATGTAGGCTTTGTCCTTAGGAGTCATGGAAGTTTTTCCTGTCAAATAACCTTCATATATCTTCACATCCAGCAGTAAGACAAACAGAGCTGTCTTGCCTTACAAAAGAAAAGTAATTCGCACAAAAGACAACATTCAAAGCAGCAAATAATTTACACACAGCAATTGAATCGGACTGATTCTTTTTAAAGCCACATGAAGTTCTATTTTATACCGAAAGGTGGCGACATTGGGTTTCAAAACAATGTCAAAGAATCGGACCCTGCCATGCTCTTTCTAAACACTTTCACCTCCCCACACAGCGATCCGCTTTGTCTCTAGTCTGTTTAGCCTTTTCTTTGCAATTTTATGTTAAACATAGACCGTTAATCTAACGTTCAGTAAGAAACACTGAAAGGCATTTTGATGGATTTCAATTTAAGACGTTCGGTTGGAGTGACTAAAACGAGTGTTGTCTTAAACGAGTTTTGAAATCAATTTGACTCCCTAATTATAAACTGCCTATAATGCAATACACCTGTACAAAGGCTCGTTTTATCAACACTTAATGAGATCTGGATAAGGAAATACAAAATAATAAAAAATATATATATATATTTGATAAATATGAGTTAATGTAATTATATTTAATGTGATTGCTTTTGTTTGTTACCTTTAATGTATGTTGAAATTATAACGATGTATGCATTTGAAAAGCATTCACATATTTACCATTTGACATCCTCTGTCAATAATCGGAATCTGTTCTGTTTTACTTGTTTCCTTCTTCTCCATGCAAAGTGAATAATAATGAATAGCCAATTAAATCCCATGTGTCAATCTGCTGATGGTCTTGGACAGTTCAGAAAACTTTGCTTTCTATACTATTATGCTAATTACGTCCCCAGATGGGCTCCTCATTGGCTGGGTCTCAGTCAATTTCATATTTCAGTTCTGACGTCAGCTCGCCTATAAAACTAAGCAATGCTTTTTAACTCGTCGGCTGACTGATGCCTTAGAAAAAAAAATCTATCAATCCTTGGGTGGAGTTTTTTTTTCTCCACAAAGCAACTATTTGCCCGGGACACGTGCGTGAACCTCCTCAATTTGGCGCACTAATCCTAAAAGGAGCCATGAAGTGTTAAATGGTAGAAACAGAGACAGCGGCGCTCAGACACCCGCACGCTGGGAGAGAGGGAGGAAACAGCGCTGCTCCAATGCGTCTGTGCAACACAGACTGAAGAAAAAAAAAAACTTATCGACACACAAACTCAAAACCTGCGCTGCGCAATTAGTGCGTGAAAATCCACTTTTTCTCCGGTTTTGAAGAAAATAAATAAAGAAATCAAGCTGGCTCAGTGCGTGTCTCAGCAGCCCACTTTGACAGGTGCTCCTCACCCCCTTTGGAGGACTGTCAACAGCAAGAGGATGGCATCAGAGCTGGCAATGAGCAACTCCGACCTGCCCACCAGTCCCCTGGCCATGGAATATGTTAATGACTTCGATCTGATGAAGTTTGAAGTGAAAAAGGAGCCGGTGGAGCCCGATCGCAGCATCAGCCAGTGCAGCCGCCTGGTCGCCGGGGGATCCCTGTCTTCCACCCCGATGAGCACGCCTTGCAGCTCGGTTCCCCCCTCGCCAAGCTTCTCGGCGCCCAGTCCGGGATCAGGGAGCGAACAGAAGGCACACTTGGAGGATTTCTACTGGATGAACGGGTACCAACAGCAGTTGAACCCCGAGGCTCTGGGTTTTAGCCCGGAGGACGCCGTAGAGGCGCTCATCAGCAGCAGTCACCAGCTCCAGCCCTTCGATGGCTATGCCAGGGGGCAGCAGTTCGGCGGCGCAGCCGGGGCAGGGGGCTCCATGGCCGGGGAGGAGATGGGATCAGCGGCCGCCGTGGTATCGGCAGTTATCGCTGCAGCCGCAGCTCAGAATGGGAATCCCCACCACCACCACCACCATCACCACCACCACCATCCAGGTGGACATCATTCCTCCTCCGGGTCGCAATCCAGCGGCGGCATGGGGGGAAACCACCAGCACCTGCGCTTGGATGACCGGTTCTCGGACGAGCAGCTGGTGACCATGTCGGTGCGGGAATTGAACCGGCAGCTCCGGGGGGTCAGCAAGGAAGAGGTGATCCGTCTGAAACAGAAGAGGAGGACGCTAAAGAACAGAGGCTATGCCCAGTCCTGCCGGTACAAGCGGGTCCAGCAGCGGCACGTCTTGGAGGGCGAGAAGACGCAACTCATTCAGCAGGTGGACCACCTCAAGCAGGAGATCTCCCGGCTGGCCAGGGAGAGGGACGCCTACAAGGAGAAATACGAGAAGCTGATCAGCACCGGCTTCAGAGAAAACGGAGGGTCCGGCAGCGACAACAACCCCTCGTCCCCGGAGTTTTTCATGTGAGTCTCGGCGCTCAAAAGTTTTAATAACCGTCCCCGCACAAAAAAACATAAAATAAAAACTTTAAATTGGTACGCACCTAAAAAATAGTGTGTTCCTGCTTGTGAAGTTAACGTTTGTTAAAGCTGCGTTAGTTAAGAAAAAAGAGTTTTACACTTTTCTGTGTTTCAAAATAATTTTCTTTCAGTTTGAGGATTTTAGTTTTTATTTATGTTTTATTTCTTTTAGAGGATATAAAAAACGACCTGTTTAAATGAATGAATAACAATTTGGTTTTCACAAATATTTGAAAGGAGTTCTGTACAATTCGCGACGTTTTTCTTTGGACACACTGCATGAAAGACACTTTCCTTAGCATAGGTCCGCCTAGTCCACCCTGTTCCCTTTACCCAAAATAGGTTGTATGAAAATCAACAATCTCCAAACACAACAGCATTATTTTATTTGCATTTATAATGGGTTTTTGTTTAAAGTACATATATTTTTTTATATGAATGATCTCATTTTCATATCATCCATCCTATTTGTCTTGTGAAAAAAGCATCCAAACTCGGTAGAAGTTTGGAGAATTGATGTGAGACTGTAACAGTTTTGTGAAGCCATGCATGCTGGTCATGTACGGATTGTGCTTTGACTTTTTTTCCTTTTTACTTGTTTTGTGAATTTTTGTTTGATGATTGTATGAAACCATGACTGCATTGTTAAGCCTCATCACATGTTGCCATTTATTTGTAAAAAAGTGTAAACAGGTGCATTCATCCGTCGCTTTGGTTTTATAAAAGTTCCCCCGAATATGGACCCATCACCTTTTTATAGGCTGATTTTGGAGCCCTCTGAAGAAGAAAAAAGACACTGTGGAAAAAAGCTACTGTTTTCTTAATATTGATTTATATTCAAAAACAACACTGCCAAGGTGAGCATCATTGAGATCTCTAGCATAAACAATTATATCATTTCTTGACAAATGCAAAGAATACATAGATTATTGCGATCAACAAGTGGGACTGAAAATAAAAAGGGACAAGATGCTTTGAACAGAACCGAAGCAGATTATGATGCATGTCCTGAAATAAATGAGAAATAGGCCACTTTGTTACGCAAAATTGTTGCAACAAATGATCTGTTCTTCCTGCAATTCGTTGTTAATGTGCTTTCCTTTCATTTAAGGAGCTTAATTACGTTTACACAGAACCCTATGGGTGTTGTTCGGTAAATAAACTGTGAACTGTTTGAAAATTGTTATAAAAAGTTATATATTCTCGCGATGCTGTAGAAGAATTCAGCAAAGTATTAAGCCATACATCTTTTGTAATGTTTTTTAAACAGTCTAGACAGTAAAGTTAACTGGCAGACATCGTGTTCAATTTAAAAAAAGAAATTTATAAATATACCATTCATCAATAAATCTTCATGAATGAGAACAAATATATTCTCTTGAAAATGTTTGTTATTATTGTTCTCTTTAGTTTTGCATGTTGTTTGTCACTGTGTCTCTGAGGCGACCCCACACACTGGTAGTCCTGTAATCTCCTCTCGATCTTAACTGAAATATAAACAGTCAATAGCAAATATCATTGAGAAAATGTAAACATCTGTTCACATCTGTTTATTTTCGAAGCGCGATGCAGATGTTGCGAACAGGATTTGTAATTATAACAGCTCAAAGATCAACTCCAGCTCTTATGTGTGTACATAAGTTATTTAATACGTCGACTCAATATGTGTCCATTATTTATTTTCCCTTGAAAAACACATGGCGAAATATTTCAAAGTATTTTCTTTTTATCCTTTGGCTTCTCAAGAAATATAAAGGACGATCTTCACTTGTTGCGTAGTTAAAGGCAGAGAAATGTATCTCAAAAAACGTGAAGCTAATCAGACAAAAACGCTCGGATATTCATGATATAATTTTACTTTTGCCTCAGGGCCTATTAATCGTGCTGCAGCTGTCCTGGAAAAGGCGTTAAGAGTTAATGATTGATTTTAGAGTAAACTTGCACTTTTTACTCGGTAGCTGTCCACTTGTTGAATATTGTCCGTGGTGTGCTTCATTTAGAAAATCGTAGACAAACCTCTAGATGACAAAATGATTAAACATGCGATTATATACAATTATGTCTAATTTTGAAAATATGAATTTTGACATCCTCCAAATAGGCTAAGTCCGAATAGAAATACACTTTCTGCAGTCTAACACTTTATAATCACCAGGAATAATAATTCCCATAACAATAAACGCTTCTTACTTTAGTTTGTATCCTGACAAAATGTTTCGCTATAGTTATGACATGCGAGGGTTTTCAGGAAACACACCATTTTGCTTCAATGTAAAGATCGTTAATTTGGCTCCGACCTCGTCACGCTGATCAAAGGAGGAGGAGAAAAGCCACAGCAGGCACCCGGAGTTTGTTTCCTGTAGGAGGGACAGGCGGCTCAGCAACTCCCGGCCTGCGGAGGACTGCTGATCCTGAATCAGCCCGCTGAACTCAGGGCATCCTGAGCAGCAGCATGGCCGAGACAAACGCCGCATATAGGGTCTAGGTTGGGCTGCATACAAGATCACTGCCACCGCTGTGTCTGTGTGTTTGCTTACGTTTTGTGTTTCTGTTTTGAATGTAAGGAGACGTTTTTTTTTTTTCAAATTGTCTCATGGAAACTTGAACAAAGCAAGTCTGAACCGAGCTTAAGACTTTACATACTGTGTATTTGCTCTGCCTCACCTGTACAACAGTGTGTCACACACTGGCATTGGCTCCAATGAAAGCCCAGAGTGAGGGACAAGGCAGAGCATGATCCTCTCCTGCCTGGAGGAATGATTCTCTCTGTGATTAAAAGTGAGTGAGAGACAGAGATAGAGCAAGTGGGACAGAGAGAGTATTACAGAGAGCGAGGGAGAGAGGGAGATGCTGGCTGCCTTCCTGCTCCTTTCAGATGATAAACGATCAGAGATGCATCCTAGCTGAGAGGAGAGGGCCTTTTAGTGAGCATGTGTCCACTAATTTATGGCCTTCCTATCTGATTAGGTCAATATAGTGTGCTATTTAATTACATTTGTGTTATAACCTGGAACTAGAGATGCTATACTTCTTTCACGGCACCCCTTTCTTCTGTGAGGCAGATAGGGCTAGTTGAGTTTTCTGTGGAGGCTCAGGATTTAGCTCTGGACGGTCTTAAATGTAACGTGACAGACAGGCGCTGTGATTTGTGTTCATAGGTTTCCAGTGCTCCACTTCTCAATATGTAAGAATGAAAAGTAGGAAAGTGCTGATCATTGTAGGCGTGGAAATTGTGTGGGACGTTTTCATCTTGTTTGTGAGTTTTGACTTGAAGACACACCAAGTGGCAGGAAGATTCAGTAGCACTTCCTGTGTTAAAGGAGGACAGAAGGCACAGGAAATAATATTTCAGCACATCCTACTCATTTCTCAGCGCTCAACCAAATTCACTGCTTCTTTCTCCGCCTTTTGCTTCCTCTCTTTCATTTGCACATCATGTAAAAGCATGTACATATAGAATACAGACACACCACATTATTAATCTTATCAGTATGAATTGTAATTCTATTCTCCGGCCCTCTCTATTGACTTCTGCACTGTGATCATTTGCAGTCTGTCCAATGATTAGGTTATTAAAGATAATGTAGTTGTCTGCTGTCACAATATTGGACTCTCTCTTTCAGGTCAACTATGGGAAATCACTTTGAAATTTATCAGTATTGACATTTGAATCATCATCATGTACTTCGCTTTAATGCCTCAGAATTAATAGGACAAAGGATGTGCACACTTTTTAGTGTCTATTTGTGTGAGTGCTCAATAACCAGCCAACATTGTCTTTTATTTGACCTTGTGGAGGAAGGGTGTATATGTGCTGCAACTGAGTGCATTAAATCTATAGGCATGAGTAAGTCACTTTATCAGGACATTGTGAGGCATGTAGCATTTTATGTTTATCAAAATTATTGTAAGGAAAATAAATGATGTCTCCTTTAGCAGAGAAAAAGTCAGAATGCCATAGTCGCAAAAGAAGAACAGCTTGAATACTTAATACTTACTTGATTTTTTACGGTTAACTAATGAGTGTTAATAATCATCCGAGCACTAAATAAAGAGTTCTTAAAACACTACCTGAAAAAGTATTATTACCGTAAGGTGTCAGTAATAATATTCTATCCAATCCATGTTATCATTTAAAGAAAGGCTATCACAACATAAAAAACAATTTGTTTTTCGATTACTTATTTGATTATTTTGTAACAACTGGAGACATGTCTCATTTTGTAACATAACAGTTTTTGTGTACCTTCATTTTCTTTTCTTCCCCATAAGCGCTCCCTTCCCCATGAAAAGCCAACCCCTAAAGGGTTAAAAACATATTCACATTCAAAAGAGGAAACAATTTCAATCTCTTACACTCAATACGCATCTGCATCACTCCACGCGATAAACATTTACATTTAAATTGATTTAAATCAGCTGCGTTTATGTTCCTCTATGGTCCGTCCATCACGTAGACCTGTGATGCCGAGCTTCCCTCCCTCTCTCTCTGTCTTGCAGTGTCCTGAGTTATGTGTCATTTATTTGAAACCCTAATAATTTAACCTGTCCCCTCCTGTCTCGCCTGTGCATGTTGTGGGAATGCAGCAGCTGTAAAGAAGCTTTGTGCTGCTGCCTCTGTGTGTATCTTATTGGCTTTACACGGTGATTTTTTCCAGCACATAGAAGCATGGGCAGAGAGGAGGTAATGTGATTGTCTGAATCCAATCCTAAAGTCTTGTGTTGAATTGAGATTACTGTAAATGCTCAGCTGTAAAAGAACGCGCATATGGGCAGATGCAATGTGTCTCGTGTATGTTGCAGTGGAATTCAGACACTGGATTTGCATTTGCTCGTATAAAAAGCTCACACCAGAATGCATCACTAAAGGGCAATAGATGAAAGCTAATTATGATTTAATTATAATGATGTGATCACAATATTCTGACTCACAGATAAACATAGCCGAGGCTGTGTTGATGTTTTCAACAGTGAGTTGAGTTGCAGGGCACAGAGTCAGTGGAGTGGTGTGTTTTGGACCGCAGCAAACGTGGTGAAACCGAGTGCATTGTGTGTATGCGTGTGTGTGTGTGTGTGTGTGGTGTGTGTGTGTGGTGTGTGTGTGTGTGTGTGTGTGTGTGTGTGTGTGTGTGTGTGTGTGTGTGTGTGTGTGTGTGTGTGTGTGTGTGTGTGTGTGCATGTTTGTCTATGTGTGCGTGTTTGAGTGCGTGTTTGAGTTTGCGTGTGCATGAGTTTGTGTTATGCAGGGCGGAGCTGGAGCCAAGCCCGACCCCTGTGTGTTTTACCTGCATCTCAATGAAGCGAGAGGTGATTTACCCTTCTACTGCAGTCAGCCACTCTCTCTCTCTCTCTCTCTCTCTCTCTCTCTCTCTCTCTTTCTTCTTCTCTCCGTCTCTGTCTTTCTCTCTCTCCCTCTCTCTCTCTCTCTCCGTCTCTCAGCCAGTCAAACAGACATTGATCTCTTTGCCAGGCAAGGTGACCCACAGCGTTGTTCAGCTTTTCCAAAGTCTCTGCTCCCTCTTTCATTTGTACCTGGGAAAGGCCTTGACCCCACACACTGCTGCCATGTAGCAGCCCTCTGCACGTGGCCGCCACTTTCCCTGTTTCAAACCCAGTGTGTATGTGTGCGTGCTTGTTTGAGTTAGCAAGAGTGTACACAGTGTGCGTGTGTGTGTGTTTGTGTGTATGTGAAATGTTCCTCTCTGTCTGGCTCTTTGTGTTTATCAGGCTCTTTGTTTGTCTTCACCTATAGGTGTGTGTAATTATGTGCACATTGATTTCTATGGGGTTGAAACTGTACATTTTCTACAGTATAGGTACATCTGAGAGCCTGCTCCGTCCAGGTTGATGTTTAAGAGCATTGTTGTGTCTGTTGTGGGTCTGCTACTGGGAGCTCCTATGTAGCCGAATGGGTCAGAGTCCATTTGGCTCCAGTGTGAATCGGATTACAGGGAAATGAATGGCTCTCATTGTAGCTTAAAGATGGATTGGGGGGCATTAATATACTTTGTCGTTGCGTTGCCTCATTTCGTTTTACTGAAGTCCAGGATAATTTTTCAGGATAATTTTTCAGGATAATTTGTCATTAGGATTTTAAAGCAGGTTTCTTTATCCACAGTTGTTCCTGATATATTTTCATGTATAGCTCACGTGTATGCGTATGTTATATTCTCACACAAACGTGTGATGAAATGAATGCAAATGTATGTGCACATATGGTCCTCATAATCAGACTGACCTGCCTGCTTAGTTTCAGTAATTTATGAACAAATACATTGAATCTAAATGAAAATATTTGTAGCAATGCATTTACATTTCGAAGTGTTTTAATAAAGCAATGGATTTTTTTTAAATGGTAATGGTTTTTGTCGACCATGACAACATTATCACAGAACTATATTAATTAATCTGACTCAGAATTTTAAACAAGTTTTGTTTTTGTGTTTTTTATTTGTGTATGGCAGTGCTCTATATATGTACACATTTGTACATTAATGGCAATTCAGAATTATATATTTATATAACATTTTCTCTGTCCCGGTAATTTGTGACTTCATTTTTGCTCTCTCCATCGTGTCATTTTTCTTTTTAAATTCGTAGTCGGTTTAAAAACCAAACAACCATAACCTTATGTTCAGAGTGTGTTTTGTGTGCAGCAGAGCGTCCTGTGTTGTTGGATCACAGCGAAGGTTTTATAATATATTTCTGTTTTCTGTCTTCGCAGGACGTCCAGAAAGTTCCTCCATCTGTGATAGAGAGCTGTGTCCGTCCCACCACCCTGGATTTTGAGGTAATTGGTCATGCTCAGTTTTTAATCTTTGTACTCCTTTACTGTACAACTCAAATTAATTATGTACTTACATTACATTACTTACTTTTATAAAATATATATTATAATATATAAGAATATAAACCGCATCAAAACGTTTTCAGAAGTCTGATCATCTAAATGTCTGCTGCATGTGTATCAAAATGCAGCGCATGATGTTTACATTATGCTTTTAACAGTACTGTTTCTACTGATCTGTTAAAATAATACTATTAATTCAGGCCTTTTATTTATTTTATTCACAATTACAAAAGTTAAGGTTTTTTCACCAGTGTAATTTTCTGTGATCTACTTTTGGTTACAGTCAATCTTTACACGGGGAGGGTTTCATTTTAAAATATTCTTCTCACCTCATATTTAGATGATCAAACGCTCTCTCATCCTTCTCTGTGTGCGTTGTTATGCAGTCCTCTGTTTTGGGGCTGTGACAGTGCTGTGTGATTGACAGGAGGGTGACATTCGCAGTGCTCATGGGATGAGGCCAAAACTTTTGTCTTGACCCTTTGACCTCCTTCACTCTCTCAGCTCTCTCTGCGGAGACAAGCACTGTGCAATATTTTTTATTTCTGGCTGACACGTAGATGGACAGATGGTGGGATAGAGGAGGATGATGAAGTGAGTGAAGGAGGGTTAGTTTTTATAGAAGGATGGATCTAAGGAATTGAGGCGAAGTAAGGAAGGAGTTAGGGATTGAGGACAGGGCACCTGGATTTAAATGCAGACATGCACGCCAGGTTGAGAGAACAGGAGGCAAGGGGAAGGGAAGAAGGGAAGAAGGGAAGAAGGGAAGAAAGGAAGAAGGGATGGCAGGAGGGCTCCTGGCCGTGGATGCAGACAGACAGGCAGGGTAACCAGAGGCAGGCAGTGACCTTCTCTGCTGCTGGAGGATCGAAGGCTTTATTTAAAGGCCTGGTCAATGCAGGGTGCTGCTGAGGTATCAGCCTCGCAGCCAGGCAACTCATCACCACTGTAATACAACTCTCTAACCCTAACCCCCCCCTCACACACACACACACACACACACACACACACACACACACACACACACACACACACACACACACACACCACACACACACACACACACACCACACACACACACACACACACACACACACACACACACACACACACACACACACACACACACACACACACAAAGACACAGACACTCTCTGGACACCTCAGGTTTTACACTGTACAGAGGCTGGACAGAGGAAAGTACAGCATCAGCATCGGCTAATTTTACTGTACAGCAGACAGTATACTCTACTTTCCTCATGTGCTCAGCATTGTGAGGCACATGCTTGTTTTGCCTTTCCTGTACGCTCCATCACTGTCCAATTTATTTATGCTGTTGACCAATTATATATAGAGAACATCATGCACGATTTTATACTCGACGTACTGATACAGTGAGAATGAAGGTGATGTAAGAGTTAATAACAACGGCAGGCTGCTAAGGTAGGACACCTGCGTCTACGTGTGTGAGCGTGGAGCACGTGCTGGTGTGTGTGTGTGTGTGTGTGTGTGTGTGTGTGTGTGTGTGTGTGTGTGTGTGTGTGTGTGTGTGTGTGTGTGTGTGTGTGTGTGTGTGTGTGTGTGTGTGTGTGTGTGTGTGTGTGTGTGTGTGTGTGTGTGTGTGTGTGTGGCGGCAGCGTTAGGACACCTGCATGCTTCAGCACTTTCTGGCTGTCAGGAGCTCTGAGGTCACAGGCAGGGAGTGGAGAGGGCACATTAGAGGCAGCTTCAGAGCCCCCACCCACCCACCACGCCTCCAAGATCCTTCCCCCTGCACCTCATCCCACCCCAACCCCCACTTTTTCCTCTCGCTCCCGTTATCCCCCGTCATCCCTCCTCCTGATCGTCTTCCCCCCGTGGTGACGGGGTGAGTCGGCCACTCAGGGGGAGGGGCGCAGGGACGCAAGGTGCCTCTGTGGCTGACAGCAGGCAGGTCAGGTTTTTGTAGACACGACAGAGGAGGAAGGACACATGCGCACAGCGAGGTGTGTGTGTTAGAGGAAGGAAGAAAGAGAACATCATTTCAAGTGCTTGTATGGAAACGTGGGCTGATTATGAAAACACATAACATATTTTTGCTGTTAAATGTAGTAAATATCGAAGCCTCAAATATGGTGGGCTGCAGCCATTAGACCGCATGGTAACGGCAATCAAACTGAACTATTTTTTTATTTCTCACAAAAAAACGTGTGGAAGAAAATCAGTCTACCAATGTAGGTAACAGAACGTTGTATCATAATATCTGTTATTGAAGCAAAATTCCTCAATATGATTTCAGATGATAAACAATGAATATCAATATATCGCCCAACCTTACATTTGCACATTGAATTGTAACGTATTACGCGCAGCTGTGTTGGGTTCTCTTGCATTCTGCATGGACATGAATTGGCTCCTTCCACAGTTTGACACACTTCACTATCCATTTGCTGCCTGGGATATATATAACTACTAGCAGCTCAGTGTGAGACTCGTTACGCTGATACATTCTTGATAGTGACACAGACGTTTTCCCTCGATCCAGAAAATCCAAATGACAGGGAGGATATGAACAGGATGTACGCTCATTATAAGGCCTGCATGGTCTAAAAAGAGTGGAGCAGAATTGGGTAAAAATGACAAAATGGAAAAAGATTTCCCTTACTGCTGTTGTAAAGACAAACACACTGAACACAGAACAACTGTGTTTAGATTTGGCTTGTTTTTAAAAATGTGGTATGTGTTTTTACTTTCTTCTAAACCACAGAGTTGATGATACTTGAGGTGAAAGAGACACCCTCGAGCCCAACCTCTAAACATCAACGCGCTGCTCTTTTCAACTTATGTTAATATGCAATTTTCTCTACGAGATTTCAGTTGTTTAAGCCTGGATTGTGTTGTTTTATTCAAACATAATTAGTTGTAAAGCTGTAACCACACTGTGTGAGAGAGCCTCAGAGCCACTGCTGTCCTCGGGTTGTGACTCTGTGTTCACAGCATGATTGAGAGAGGAACTTGGTATCAGCCGGAGGTTAGTGTGATATAATGTATTCCCCTGAATCACCGCAGCCAGCAGCCCAGGGCCTTCCTCCCGCCCGCAGCCCCCTTCCCCTTACACACTCACAAACACACACTCCTTCCTTGCATCCCCTCTTCTCTCTTCCCTGTGGTGACTGCCCAATGCTAGCTGCTTAGCGTTGCACCCTGTGTCTAATTGAATCCCAACACTCCGGCGTTAGCTCCTGATGCTACAGAGATGTTAACACGGCACAATACTAACAGTCCCCGGGAAGTGTTTCAACACCCGGCTCCTAAAGAGAAAATTAGTGCTAAGCTCACTCTGGCAGCACATGATTTATTCAAAGCTCCAAACTATGTCTTCTGTATCCCCCGAAGGATCTTCTTTTATAGCCATGAGCGAATCAGCACTTCATACACACACATGCAGCACACGCAGAATATGTATTGTGCTGCTTGTGTGTTGGTCTACAGATTGTGTGTTTCCTCTCACTTCTCATGTTCCTACTGGAGTGTCTATTGTCCCTTATATAAATGTGTCTGCTGGTCTCTCTGCATCCATATTGCTGGCGGCGCCGTCCATCCCCTCTCCCTGACACCCTCACTGGCTCTCAAATACCAGCTCTGGGCTTTAATGGCACATATGTCCTGGGCCCGGCTGAAACGGGATGCATCTTCTCCTTGTTAGCTTGATAAATAACCAGGCTGTTGGGAAAGTGCTGAATTTGAGCTTTCAGCCTCTATTTTCTGCTGGATGACATTAATTGTAAGTGCTGAGAAGGAGCTAACTAATACAGACAAATAAATAAGCAGGAGGAAGGGAAAGTGCAGAGGTGCTGGAGTCACTCTGCTGTCCCTCCCCCCCGTTTATATACACACATTCATATATATGCAATATGCAAACCAGCAAAACATACAATACACACAGGCAGCACACACAAAGAGAATGCTTCTGTTGTTGTTCAAACTGTGCAATGCTCCTCCCATTATTAGTATAACTCTTGCAGAGGTCAAGTGTTTACCATGCTGCAGGTAGACAGACAGTCTGTCAGGTAGACGGGACGATCGGCTCCTTCTCTATCTTCTGTCTGCCTCCCTCCCTCCCTCCTCTCTGTCTGTTCCTCCCCCTATGTCTCCTGGATTCTGTGTTTCATCAGAAAAAAGATTAGTGTGGCAGCAAAATGGTGACGGATCCCAGTGCACAACAGTATGGATACATTGAATTTATTTGGGTTTATACAGTAGAGACAACAAAACAGAGATCAGGTCTGAGTCTGAGGAGCTCATTAGTGGATTGCAATTTAAATATTGGGAGTTTCTTTATTGGGGGAAAGTTGATTATTGTTGCGGTAGAGACAAAAAAATAATAAAAGTATGTTAAAGCTGTATAATATAAAGGATAGTTTTTAAATTACATTATTTTATTATTTTATTTGTTTGTTTGTGCCGCGACAGCCCATGATTCATTTCCATCATGGTTTTCATAACCATTTAGAATAGATTGTCTCTTTTCATTGTCTAAAAGACTCTTAGCTTCAACAGCTGCTCTTTTTTATACCTTTTTATAATAAATGTTTTGCAAAATAGAAAATAATAAAATAGGTTCAATACAGGATTTAAAGGTGGGGTAGGTCATTTTGGAGAAACCAGCTCGAGTGCGCTAGAATTTGAAAATACACAGCCGGAAGAAATCTGCCACTTCCTTACAGAGCCCCTCCTCCAACACACACGAACGCATCGTAAGATGGAATAAGAGCATTCCATGGAATATAACAAAAAGTGTATCTCGAGCCGGTTTCTCAAACTTACCCCACCTTTAAGTCTTCCAAATATACTTAAAGTCCTACATTTCTTTTATTGTTTTTTTATTTATTTCTATTGAAGTTCCATTATTTTCCTGTTTTACATTTCCGGACTCACA